AATTTGCTCAAGGGAATTGTTTTCGTCCACCTCAAGGCTTTCTATTGGCTACTTTAACCCAATCGGGGTGGAACTTGGGTTTGGGAGGGTGCACGCGATGGCGCGGCGCTCTCTTCGTCTGCTCCTCCAGAGCTTATTGTTAGTCTCAGGGACAGTTACCCTTTCGCCATCGCAAGGCAGCTTCGAAATACGCGCCATAGGTGACTAAGCCTTGAAGGAGCAGACGAAAACAGCGCCACGCCATCGCGGGTGTGATTCACTAGGACAGAAAGCCACTTTTTCGCCTTTTGCATCGCGAAACATTTTTCGCTCTAGAAAGTCCAGGTCCACTCATGGCCAGCAGTGAACCACACCCGCCACCAAGTGCCCCTCCCCGAATCGGTTACTTTGCGATTTCAGTGTGAAATAAATACGTGTCGATTATGTGCTCACAGAATCACATGGTCCGGTGGTCCGCTAGAATAGTGATCCACACCTTTATTATCTGCTCCACATTCAAACAGCAAGACGGTCGTAGAGTATAGTCGCGGCCTAACACAACCTCCCCATTTGTTTGAAATAGTGTTTTCTCATTGTCATCTCCAGCGTTTTTTTTTTCATTAAATGGAATCAATGCTTTCTGCATGTTTTGTGGTACTTGTCCATATTCTATTCATTTTCAGGTAAAGAATAGGGCAATGAAATGGTCAGGATCTTCTGCTTCCGGGCCTTGTTGTGGGCAGTTGTTTTTGGCAACTCAATTTATTTAGGCGTCAGCGAATCATCGAACGTCGATCTCCTAAAACCATGTCAATCACTCAGAACTTTTCAGTAAGTCGACTTATCTTTTGAGGCCAAGGTTCTGAGAGAGTTCTTGGTGAGCTTAAGACCAACGTCCGAAAGCATCGCTTGGTCCGTCGCCGACTATGACGTCTGTCTAATACTTGCGGTTTCTTTAATACCAGATTAGTCCCCCGTCAACCGCCGGGACCTTCCTTTCCTGCGCAAGCTTTCTATCCTCCGCTATGGTCCCTTCCTCCTGTGACACCAACACCTGGAAGTGACGCGTATGCAACAAAATGGAGTTTCATATAGTAGAGGGGCCACAATCATGACATGACGGTAGAATGACGTATCAATACCTATCTGCACCTTGGGTCGGTTGGTGATCGGTTTTCCGCCTCCCCTTCCCATCCTCCCCTCCTCCCTCCACTGCCCTCCAGCTGCCACTGCAGCACCATGTGGAATGACCGGAAGTGTGCTAAGTATAGCCTAGCATAGCCTATGTAATAGGATAACTGTGATAACATCTCTACGGCTGTTTTATATATAGCTGTAGAGATGTTATCACAATTATCCTATTACAAAACATTGATAGCTCAAATCCTGTAGCTACCCGATTTTGTTAGCGGTTTGTTTATCCCATGAGCTTCCTTATCACTCACTTCATTTTGCGGACGGACACACATACATACATACCGACACAAGTTAGCGGTTTATAAAATGGAAGGATAAGCAGTCGTGTTTATGATAAAGAAAAGGTGGGATGTTCTCAAGTGCGGACCCTTTCATTTGGGATAAATATCAATGGGTGGCTGTGAAAGCGGAATCGAGGTAGTTAACGCTCGTCGGGAATTTCCTTCCCGTGCAAAATTGGAATTTCTCTAGGCGTAGCAACTGTCGCGCGCATGCCCCTCCTCTTTACCGAATGAGACTCTTGTTAATGATGTGCTCTCGCCTTTTTAAGCGCTGTTTCTCCCAAAGAGTTACGAGAAAATTTTTTAGTTGTAATCCTATGTCACCTATACCACTTGCCGTCCCGTTATTCTTCGAGTTCCTCGAGCGCCAGTAACGCCTCCATTAAATCTACCCCGTGTTAGTCCAGTGAACTCTCCTCACTCAGGGGACACGACGTCTTCATTCCTTTCGTTCAGAGCTTTCGTGAAGAAGTCTGACCATCGGGCCGGCGGTCGTCCAGGTGTTCGTTTGACGTCCCGAGGGATCCAGTCGGTAACCGCTCTGGTCCAACGGTCATCGCAAAATCGCATGACGTGTCCGGCCTATATGATCTTCGAAATTAGGAATTGACAGTGTCCGGCTGTGGGTTGGTTAGGACAGAAAGTGACTTTTTCGCTCCATACAGCGCCAAACGTTTCTTTCTAAAAATTTTCTCTGTCCTAGCGGCCTATACCCAAGTGTCCCTCATCCTCGATTCGTTAGCGGGTGCGAAACTCTGGATTCCCCTTTACGCTTGAGTAAAACGAGTTACTCCTAGCATTGTCCTCCACAGAACGCTCTTTAACGCAGCCCACGTGCTCGTTTTCCCTGCGCAGGGTCCGAGTCCATGTTTCGCATGTTATGGCAGGATTAACTGCAGAATCGAAGCGCCTGAGCGCGGAGCAGGGTCAAGCGAGGCGTCTGGAAAAACTCCGAAATATTTCCTCCCCTCAATCTATAGGAAGATTTGGGAGTTTCTCGACCTGCTCTTTCTACTTAATGCAATATGAAGAACTATTGAGGATTTTGAGAGGTACTCTTCTCGGGTAGTAAACGAGAAAAATTTCCCGAGAATGGAGTTTTCACGCATTCAAAAGCCATAACTGTAGTTTCAGAAAGGTTAATATTGCAGTGTAGACTAGAAGGTTAGCTCTGTTCAATAGTTATCAAGTTGTTCGACTCCAATCTGCCTTCCAAATCTGCTAAACGGCTCTCCGAACGGAGTTATGAAGCGTAATAGCTCAGTGGTGATGGTCCGGGGTGGCAGGTAAAAGCTCGTAGGATCGGTTCCTTTGCAAGTTTGTTGCTTTGCTTTTGTCCGCAACACTTCTAGAGAGACATTTATACTAGTTATTTCTTCAACTCTTGTCTATAATTGCCTGCAAGAGACTGCGAGCAGTTGCTGACAAGTTAGCCTCTGCTCCCGCATGACTGTTCTCTTCGCCCGTAGCGTGCCACACGTTTTCGCGCAAAACGAATCCGATATTCGTTATCAGGGTGCCAAGTTACCTCATAGAACAAATTTTCAGCAAAATCTGAAATTTTGACCTAACCTGAAAAGTTGACGAGGAGCAGTGGCTAAACTTGTCAGCAACTGCTGCCAAACTCTTCGTGCAGGTAATTCTAGGTAACTATTGATGAAATAACGTGTATAAAGTTTTCTCAGAAATGTAGCAGATAAAAGCAAAGGAACAAACTCGCAAAGGAACCGATCCTACGAGCTTTTACCTGCCACCCCGGACCATCACCACTGAGCTATTACGCTTCATAACTCCGTTCGGAGAGTCGTTTAGCAGATTTGGAATCAGCGTCTGGAGACGCATCAGGTGGTATACATTTCATTTTAAACGGCCACTTCGACCTACCATCCTTCCCTTGTAGCAGAGTTAATTCTACATTCTACATTTCTACATGGACCCAACAGTTCCATTTAAAGCAACACTTCCAGTTAGGTTAATATTTTGCTTCTAATGGATGAGATGTGTGAGCCCTTGTCGAAAACAAATGAAGTGTCGCTGAAGCAAAATCCTACCTTAGAAATCCGCTAATGAGGGGTTTGGATAGGTGACAACTCATCAGATCCGCCTTCCGTCGGCCCGCCCACTTGCTAGCTGTGGAGTTCGCGTGATTGGCTGCGTGGTCCTGGCAACTTCTTAATTGAACGTGATTTTCCAGGTACGCTTGCGAACCTCCTGTAATCAATCCTGAGACGCAACAACCGCTGAACTGTAATGTGGACAACTCCGTAACTGGTCTGCTTTTCTTCACTTTTTTGTACAGTTCCTTTCACTCTACAATGGTCGCAATTGATTACTCATGTTCTAGTTACCTGTAAAGTCGCGAATGGCGTCCATTGCCGTGGACTACTCAATGGAACTCGATATTTCCATTTATCAGTGAGTGAAATTTTTCGTTGATGGAGTGGAAGTTACACTGCAGTTATCAAGTCCCGCTTCGTTAAATAGCAAGCTTTCACTGTTGTATAGCTGAAGTGCAATTACATTTGTAATTATATCCTGTCCTTATTATATGCTATTCCATGTTGATTGCTTCTCATCAAAACTTCCACTTGTTAACGCTGAATTTGGGCTTTGAAAGCTGTCCAGTTTTGTGTACTTTTAGCATCCTCTTTGATCTCGTTGAGCTTTTGAGAAATTAAAAGGTCACGCCACATTCCGATAGGTCGTCAGTGTCCAAAAAAGTGAAATTCTTATCTGCTGACTTCAAATCTTTTTGGGGATCTTTATTTCCAACATCAGTGAAGACAGTGGTTCACCAACCAGGGTGAATAACGGTCGAGGAAATCCTCGACCATAGCTCTCTACCATGCGAGAGTAGTGCCGAGAGTGAACATCCGCGCGGAGAGCACAGACGGCACGGCATGGCGAGTGTGAATGTCCGCGCGAGAGATCGTCTCTGATCGGGCAGAGAATCCTCGACGTGCCGTTGAGGAATCCTCAAGCGATATTCACCCTGCTTGTCAACTCACTATACATTGGCGCACTGATGCGGTTGCCGGTCAAAAGCTGCATCCATTTAATCCATGGAGGCAGTAGCTGTAAATTCCCGCCGATGGGCCCTATAGCACAACCGATTTCATTGTAAATGATATATGTGTGATCACACGATCTATGGTCGAACGGTTGGGCGATCGATGCGTATCTACTCAACTTTCGGTTATGTGATCGAACCGTCGTTTCGACTAAACTATGACTGTGGCCTGATTATACCAACGTATTCAATCGCAGTCAATGCTCTAACGAATTCAAAAACATTAGAAGTTACATTATAAAGCGGGTATGTAGCGCAAATCCCAACATCTTTTACCCTATAACGACGCATTCAGGCTATTGCTCGCGCCCAGTTTTTTCATGAATATATCATTGGGATTACTAATTGTTTTTGCACTTGACGTAGTGGTTTCGAGAAGCTGCTCCCGTCCTAATACTGTAATATAGGAAGACCGAACGATACCATAGCCAAGTGTCAACGAATAAATCTATTGTCAGATTTCTGTCAAAATCGCAAAGACTTTTTCCTTGCTCTCCCGTCATCCTCATGCGCGATATGACAACGGGGCTGTCCGAGCTCCCTTGCTGTTCGGGTTTTAATTTCTCTAAATTCAGAAACCAATTTCGTGGCAAGTTACCACCTCACCTTCACACTCACTGCCGCTGTTGTTGTCGATATTTCTTGGCTTTTTGGGTATTGATAGGATGTATCTTGGATACTCTATGCTGTTGGTAGGCTTTTATTCTTGTAATTGTTCAAGCTGCATATACTTAAAAGTTGGTGTACGTGAAAGAATTTTCAGTGTTCTTACTTGTTAGATACTGTGAGTGTTGGTGTAAACCTAGTGATCACAGGAAGTTTCAGCATTATAAACATATGTTTTCATTGGAGGCCTAAATCGTCTTTGGCGTCTTGCATGGTTGGTACTTATTGCCTTCCTCAACTTCTTCTTAAGACAGGAACCATGATACAGCTGCTGGCTATCATACTATTAACTAACTTCAGATTTGTAGTTCCCGTCGGTGCTGTTCACAAGCTCCACTTAATGCGTAACAAGGGGGGGCTGCGAAGTAAACCAACACAAACCCCATAGGATATCCATGTGGAATATTAGAGTAAAATATTGGTCTTTTGGTGATTCAAAGAGTAGATTTCTCGGGGCTTGAGTCCACTGAGATCGACGTCGAGCGACAAGTTATTCTGTTATTAACCACGGGGAGCCACACCTGCGAAGAAGACCCGTTTATGACAATGAGCGAGGTAATGTGAGCTTTTGGTATGTCTTTAGTTTGACATGTTCACGATGTGACTTGAGTCCATATTTGCACTTGATGTTCGACAGAGATCGATAAAAGTAGTGGCGTTATTCCGCCATAAAGTCCTTGTGTCAACGATGTCGATGTACGGATCGGAAAGAACTAGATATCCTCATGATGCATGTAATTTTGTTGGTGTTTGCGTGGAGGTGAGCCTTCTTACACCCTGATATTTTTTTTCAATTTTGGCTGAACTTATCAAGGCCTCCCATCACACTCGTTTTTTGCGGCAATCCAGTGTTGCTCGACTGGGGAATGTTCTTATTTTGTTCGAAATAATATTAACAATAAAATAAAAACACATCTTTTGGTTTTATTATCGTCTTTCATTTGAACACATTATACGGGAACAGGGTTCCACAGCTTTGCGCAGATAAGTGTGTGCCATGTCTCGTGGTTGCGCGCGTGCTTTTGTAGCCTTTAATGACTGAAAGCTTTAGCCTCGCGTCGCGGGAGCGACGAACCTCGATTGCGATCTATTTTTTTTACAACAAAATTTCATTTTTTTTGTTCAGCTCCGATAATGGCAGGTTTTCAATGCTACCGTTGCTCGTTTCAATATAAATTAACCTCATGAGATTTGGTGAGGCATCGTTTGATGTATTTGAGAAGATTATCTTCGTTGTCCGTGGAAAAGGGGTAAGGATTGAGCGATTGAAAAGGAGTCAATCCTATTCAACATAAGGTTTTTTCGTTGAACTTTTCCTTACACCAGACGCAAAGATAATTTCTCAATCGTGTCGACGTTATTTTTTGACTCATCAGTTCTCATTCCTCATTGGTCCTCATACATCACTTTTATCGCCAAAACATCTGCAATGGGGTTACGGGGCAGTGGTCAACCAACGCGTGAGAGTCCAGACAGAAAAGCACATACTTTCTGCTTTCTAGGACTAAGCCTTTTGAAGGAAGGAAAGAAAGCAGAGATGCTGTAATAGTGTGCATATGCGAGAGTGCCCAGAGAACACTACAAAACGCTGAATCACCAAGCCTTCCGGTTGACCGCTGCCCTTGGACGGGGGTTTCCTCGGATACCTACCTGTCTGAGGATAAAACCACCAATCTGTGAATCGGTTGCCCCAGAAGTCATTGCTTAGGCCATACCGTATCCAGTTCTTACCACGATTCTGTAAGGAAGTAGGATGCGTGGCGTCTCCTAGAAGAGATTGATAAATATTGGAGCTTTTTTGCAT